TTGCTGGAGCGCTGGCAATAGCCTAAGTTGCTGCTCGGGCGCTGGGGGCAGCCTATGCTGCTGCTGGTTTTGCTGGGGGCAGCCTAAGCTGCTGATGGTGCGCTGGCGGTAGCCTAAGCTGCTGCTCGAGCGCTGGGGTAGCCTATGATACTTCTGGTTTTGCTGGGGGCAGCCTACTGGTGCTGCTGGTGCTGCTGCTACTGGTGCTGCTGGTGGCGGGTTTCAGCTCTTAAGGCGGAGGATTTAGGTCGCGGTAGCAGCTCTGACTGGTACAGGTGGCGCAGCGAGTGCGTTTTTGTACGGTTCAGTGCGGGTTTGCTCGGTTCTGTGCGGTTCGGTGTGGTTCTGCGCGGTTCTGTGCGGTTTTGTGTGGTTCTGCAGGGTGGAGAGTACCGGGTGGGGCGATTGTTTCTGGGTGAGGTGACTGGAACGGGTGGGGCAGAAGCTATGGCTGGAACGGGTGGGGCAGCGGGTGCGGTTCTGTGCGGTTCTGTCCGTTTCCGTTCGGTTCTGCGCGGTGGAGAGTACTGGGTGGGGCGGATGATTCTGGGTGAGGTGACTGGAACGGCGGGTGGGGTTGCAGATATGGCTGGGGCGGCGGGCTATAGGTGAGGTAGTGGGAACGGGTGAGGGCGGCAAAACTGGTTGGGGTGGCTTGTTAAGGGTAGGGCGGCAGAACTGGGAAGGGGCGGCTATTCTGGCTGGGGCGGCGAGCTAAGGCACTAGGGACGGGTGGGGGGTCGGCCTACGGGGAAGGCTGTGGGACGGGTTGCAGGTGGCGTGGCACGCAGGCTCCACGGGCTGCTGTGCGAGCGGACAGGCGAGCAGCTGCGCGTGCTGTTGTGTGGGCCGTCACACGCGGCTGCGCGTGCGACTGTTCGTGCGGGTGCAACAGATCTGACGGGTGAGGCGACGGGAAAACGGGTGGCGCGCGGGGTACGGGGCACTACGAGACACGAATTGACGGGGCGCTACGGACTAAGGCGCTTCGGGCTAGGGCGCTTCAGGCTAGGGCACGTTACGGGGCGGTGGGCCCATGGGATTTTTTTTATTGCATCGATACCATGTCAAGTTACAAAACTCTAAGTATTGACTAAGGAAAGTGAAAGCAAGCAAGATATATGTGACCTAACCCTAACTCTAGGAAATATGAATGTCACACCTAGATTAACATAAACAGCACATATAAAATATATGTTGACACCTCCCGGTCCTGCGCCTGCACTCTGACCGAGGTGGTGAGGTTTGCTCCCGCCTCCTCAAGGACTTCTGTGGTGCTGAGGGCATCCGCCATACGTTCACGCTTCTGGCATCTCCGCAGCACAATGGGATAGCAGCACGTCGCATTGGCTTGGTCATGGAGGTTGCTTGCACCTCCATGATTCATGCGGCTGCTCCCCATATTCTGTGGTCGTTTATGGTCCGATACGCCGCTGAGCAGCTAAACCTCTGGCCGCGTGTCTCCCACCCGGAGACCTCCCCTACTCTGCGGTGGACGGGAGAGGTTGGTGATGCGTCGGTGTTTCGGGTTTGGGGTTCCCTTGCTCTTGTCCGCGATATTCCCACGGGCAAGTTTGCTCCTTGCACTCTTCGTTGTGTCTTCCTTGGCTTCCCTACCAACGCCCCGCCCTGGCAGTTTTACCACCCGGGTTCTCGTCAACCTTTGACGAGTCGGTCTTCTTCTACTGTCTCGACCCCCACCGCAGTTCCCTCGTGCCTTTCCCGCCTCTCTTCCTAGTACCCAACCCCCCCCTCCCCCTCGGTAGCCCCCCTCCCCCCACATGGTCCTACTCCCTCAGCTGTGTCTCAGGTAGACCCACTCCCATTGGTTGGGCCTTTGGAGATCTCCTCTGACACCTCTGGCCCAGCTGAGGGGGGTGACACGACTGCTACCGACTCTGTGGACCCTTGCCGCTCAGAGCGCTTGGGGGCCCCTCCTGGGTTTCCGCCTCGGCCGTCTCCACCGCCTTGAGGACAGGCAGTTTGAGCTTGAGTGTCTCGCGGCCGTTTTACCCCATTTTGCGTCCATGCTGCTTTGCCCTGAGGGAGACCCGGATGCACTTGACATCCCTACCCCGTCTTACGTAGAGGCGATTTTGGGTGAGTGCTCCTCTCAATGACAGCAGCCATGGACGCCGAGATGGCTTCCTGGAAGTCCACAGGCACCTACGTCGACAAGGTTCCCCCTCCTGGGGTGAACATAGTCGATGGCATATGGATTTTCAGGGTGAAGCGGCCGCCGTGTTCTCCGCCTGTCTTCATGGCGCTTTATGTTGCATGAGGCCTCAATCAGCGACAGGTGGTCGACTTCATCCAGACCTTCTCCCCCACCCCCGAAGATTACCACTCGAGTGTTACTACATGTTGCAGCACAGCGTGACTACGAGCTTCACTCGCTTGACTTCAGCACAGCTCTCTTGCAGGGCAGCTTGCACCAGGAGATCTGGATGCGCAGCCCACCTGGCTTCACTGGGTCGTTTCCAGAGGAGCCTCCGGTGGCCAGTCTACAGTCTCCGCCATGCGCCTCGCAAGTGGCACGACACACTGAGGACGACGCTTGCGGCTCTTGGGTTTGCTCCTTCTACTGCTGACCTGGGGTTGTTTCTACGCACCGACACTTCTCTGCCGCCGTTCTACATCCTCGTATACGTCGACGACTTGGTCTTTGCTACTGCTGACACTGAGGCCCTGGCCCTTGTGAAGTCGGAGCTGCAGAAGAGACACACCTGCACTGACTTGGGTGAGCTGCGTAGCTATCTTGGCTTACAGATCACCCGGGACAGAGCACGGCGCACCAGCATTTTGACTCAGTCCCACATGGTGCACCAGGTCGTTCAGTGCTTCGGCTTCCAGTTCTCCTCGCCACAGTCCACACCTCTGCCTACAGGCCACTCGCTCTCAGCTCCACCTTTGGACAAGTCCGTAGAGCCGAGTGGTTAGTATCAAGAGCTTGTAGGCTGCCTCATGTACCTGATGACCTGCACTGGACCTGACCTCGCGTTTCCTCTCAGCATTCTAGCTCGCTACGTTGCGCCCGAGAGACACCGACCAGAGCACTGGCGGGCTGCTAGGAGGGTGCTGCGTTACTTGTGCAGTCCATGAGGCATGGGGCTCGTGCTTGGAGGACGGGCTTTAGTTGTACTCACTGGACATTCAGATGTTTCTTAGGCAGACGACCAGGCAACTGCGGGGTCGTCACAAGGATACACCTTCAGCATTGGCTCCAGTTCAGTTTCTTGGAGGTCTACTCGCTCCAGTTGTGAGGGCCTCGGCTGCACAGGAGTTACACTAGCTGACCTACCTTCTTGCCGACTTGGGAGAGCCGCCTCGTTCTCCTCCAGTTCTATATGTCGACAACAAGGCCATGATTGCCTTGTGTTAGGAACACAGACTGGAGCACAAAACGAAGCATATTGCTCTACATTACTTCCTCGCACGAGAGTTGCAGCAGCGTGGTCAGCTTCGTATGGCTTATGTGGCCTCACGGGCCAACACTACTGATATTTTCACCAAGGCACTTGTGTCTCGTGATCATCAGCGTTTCTGCACTGTTGTAGGCCTTCTGCCTACTCTGCATCACTTGCTTACTACTAGACTTTGCCCGTGTACGTTGATCTTTATATATATACATGCATGCTTACTATTGCTATGTTGTGATAACTGTACTGCATGTCCTCTTAATAACTCTGCATGTGAACTGGTATTGTGACCATTTGCTTATGCTCGGACTGTGTGGTGACTTTGTGATCCACCCTGAGCTGTGCTTTGCTTCTTCTCTTGACTGGTCTTGTGACCATTGCTTGCTCTGTCTATCCCTCATTTCGCCTATGGGGGTGTGTCAAAACATAGTATGTTTGTATTTTATGTAGGCTGTATGGGGGTTAGCACTAGGGGGTACAAAACCTTTCTCGACATTGCTCTGCTCCCCCTCCTTTCACCTAGTCGACATCATTCCTACCTAATTTCAGCACGTCGAGGCAGAAGCATCAGGCAGCTGCAGGAGCGAGGATTTAGGTGGGAACACGTTTGTAGCCGTCTGGAGTCGCACAGTTGTGGTTTAGGGAATGTACGCCTTAGAGTACGCTATTTACGAAGTTGGTTTTCCCTTTGTATTACGATATAAACATATGTATCTGCTCGTTAATATTACCGTATGTCATTTGACCTGAGTTCAATACTCCTGCTGCAACTTACTCTATGCGAACCAACGTGGGGTGATCCCACACACAATCAACCTTCTTATCGCAACATAGCGCATTATGTAATTTCTATTACCATATATGCATCTCTCCGTATAAATATATTATGTTTGCAAGACTATATCTCTCTTAGAATATTTACAACACTATTAGAACACAACATTTGAGACTACTTGGAGACCTAATCATTTCAAAGTATGATAGTATCTGTTTGCAAGTGCACAAACCAGTATGTGAAGACTGCTTGTAGCGAGCGTATATTCAAGTAGCAGCAGCAGATGGCGGGCAAGAAGAGGAGTGGAAGCGCGACTGTGCAACGCACACCGCCATCGCCATGTATTACTCGAGCCATACCATACCAATTCGTGTTTAGGTGGCCAGGTGTTACGGCGTTACCACGTGTTTACGCGCTCGCTCGAACAAGTCATTTCATGAATAGGTGCTGCGGTGGAGTGGAAGCGTTCTGGCGAGCGCGCGTCGGTGCACTCACGGTGCCAACGACGTCGCGCGGTGCTCGTCGCTGCTGCGCGCCTCGCCTGTGTGCGCGCACCGCCCTTCCGGCAGCCGCGCAAGCAGCCGCGCGAGCAGCCGCGTGGGCGGCACTGATGCGGCAGCTGCGCGTTTGACGAGGTGCGCGAGAGGCGCGCATTGACGCACCAGCGCCATCGGCGGCGCCCGCCACTCGCGGACGGATGCGCAGGAAGCTGCTGCGGAGTGATACGAGGTGCGTCGCCCCTCGCCGCGCGCACCGCACCCACTCTACCCGCCCATCACCGCCCCGCTCCCCCCAACCACGCGTGCATGCTTCGCCAGGACTCGACGCTACGAGCCGAAGCGCGAAAAGCGAAGCGCGTGGCGATCGCTGCCCGTGCGCCCACCATGACTCGCGCGCGCGCCGCTATTGGCGTTGGCCAAGTGGGCAGTGGCGGCAAGAGCGTCCGTGAAAGGCGGCTTGGGAAAGTGAGTGCGCGAGTGTTGAGTGAGTCTGTGGCAGCAGCACGAGTGTGATGAGGGCGCCAAGCGTGCGATGAGGGCGCAGCAAGCGTGCGATGAGGGCGCGAGTGCGATGAGGGCGTGAGCCTTGTCACCAAAACCCCCTCTTCCCGCAGCAAGCGTGGGATGAGGGCGCTGGGTGCTGCCATCGCATGCCCATGCACCAAACCCTCGCTCGCACCTTCCTCCACCCTCCTTTCCCTCCCTCCTCCCCCTTCCTCTCCCCCTCCTCTCTCTTTCCTTTCCCCCTTCTCTCTCGCTCCCTTCACCCCCCTTAACTCCTCTTTTCACCCTCCTTTCTCCCTCCTGTCCCCCTCCTGTCCCCCTCCTATCCACCTCCCTCCCGTCTCTCTCTTCTCCCTTTGCTTCCCTCTCCTTTGCCTTTGTTTTGCCCTCATTTCGACCACCCCTTCCTAACCCCCTCCTCTTTCCTTCTTTCGCATCCTATCACTCTCCTTTCCTCTCCACTTTCCCCCTTTTCACCCTCCTTTCCCCCTCCTTTCCCCCTCCCCTCCATGCCCCCTCCTTCATCTTCTATTTCCTCCATTTCCCCTCCTTTCCCATTCCTGTCACCCTCCTATCCACCTCCCGTCCCCCTATTTTCATCTCACGTCCCCCTCCACGCCCCCTGCTTTCCTTCTCCTGTTCCCCTCATGTCCCCCTCAGTCCAACCACCTTCCCCTCTGTTCCCCATCTTCCTCCAAATCCCCTCCTATTCGCCTGCCTATCCCCTGCTTTCACTTCTCACTACTTCATTTCCTCCATTCCCTCTCCCCTCCCGCTCCCATTCCCCCGTCCACTCCCCTCATTCCCCTTCCCCCCTCGTTTTACGCTCCTTCTCCTCCGTTATGCTCACTTTCTTCCTTCCCCCTGCCCCCCTTTCCCACTCCTTTCCCCATCCTTTCCCCATCCTTTCCCCATCCTTTCCCCATCCTTTTCCCCTGCTGTGCCCTGTCTATCGCCCTCCTCCACCCCTGCTGCCCCCTGCCTGCCGCACGCCTTCTCCTGGGTGCGTGCTTGGGGCAGGCAGAGGGGGCTGCAGGTGCCAGGGAGCAGGCGCGCCATGCAGGGGAGGCCATGGGCGGCCATGCACGCTGGCGTGGGCTCAACGGGGCTCTCTGCGGAGATTACTGCTGCAACGGGAGCTAGGCTACGGGCTAGGCACGTGTGCTCGTGTGATCTCTGCGTTCGTTCACTTAGTCGTTTCCTTGTGTTTACACTGCTTGCTAGTTCATGGGGAGAAATGGCAAGAGTTTCACAAGGAAAACATGACAATAATAATAGTAACAACATTGGCAGCATTGACTACATTAGAGCTAGGTAGGCTGCGGGTCGACCTCCAGCGCAGCACGGTCGACCGCGCTCCAGCGCTCGCACCGCTCCAGCGTTGCAGAGTAGCGGTTCGCCAACGTTGCAGTCCACGGGGTGCCTACGCTGCAGCAAGTCGGCTGCACAGCGTTGCACTCGCAGGACAACGGTGCAACTGCTTCGCAGGTGCGCGCAGCTGGTTGGTGCGCACCTTCTTGTCACGTGCCCAGCGCAGACGCCTGGCAGACTCCACGCCAGCGACTGCGCCCACCAGCCATGTTGACCTCGGGATACCACCCCCGAGGTCGGCCTCGCAAACTCCACCCTGGCGACACTCGCGCACATCGCCCGGGTATCCCGGTCGACCGGGCAACCACGCCTGGCCGACCAGCGCAGTCCATAGCTGGCCACGGATGCCTGACCTCCCCAGTCCGGCGTCCAGGCGCCCAGGATGCCTTACGAACTCCCAGGTCGGCATCCAGACGCCCAGGACGCCGACCAGACACCCAGGTCGGTGTCTGGACCCCCAAGACGCCATGCAGAAGCCTAGGTCGGCGTCTGGCCTTCCAGAACGCCGTGCAGGCGCCCACGACGTCGACCAGGCACCCGGGTAATCATGGCGACGCCCAGCTCGGCGTCCAGCTTCCCAGGACGCCGTCTAGGCGTCCGAGACGCTAACCAGGCGTCCAGGGCGGCGTCCTCCTGCTCGGCGCCCTCTAGCCAGGCGCCCTCCAGCTTGGCGCCCTTGCAGTGGCCCCCGTGCCCACTGCTGCAGATCGGCTACAACCCCCGCACATCCGACCACAAGGTTGGCTCCGCCGAAGCGAGGACGGGGCCTTACAACACTCCTGTTGACACTCCCCTGCCGCGTTCATGCTTGGGCCCCCAACCCACACGGCAGTACAGCTCCGAGAATAGCCCGTCGGCGTGCACCCAACACACAGCACGCCGGTCACCGCACCAGCCATGCAAGAGGTCATGGCACTTACTGCTGGACGTCGTTGTCGCCGTCGCCCACGTCGGCCAAGCGCACCTGGCCGATGGCGATGGAGCACCGGTTGAAGGCCGGATAGTGCAGCGCCTTCGTCAGGAATTCGGCTGGCTGCTCAGCGGTCTGGATGTACTGCAGCGAGAACTTCCCGCGCTTCACCATGTGCTGCAGCCAGGCCTGTCGCCGCTCCATGTGCTTGAGATTGCCTGTCAACCCCATGCCCTCGGCGACTGTAATGGCCGACTTGTTGTCCACGCGCAGGACAGTCGGCTTCACGGCGTCCAGCTACCGGAACTCGGCGAGGAGGAAGCGAAGGCGGCGTCCCTCCTTGCCAGCTTCTGTGGCCGCCACGTACTCCGACTCGGTCGACGACAGCGTCGCGCACTTGATGCGCTGGCTCGACCAGGAGACTGCGGCCCCACCGTAGACGAACACATAGCCACCCGTGCTCGTCCTGTTCTGCTTCTCACCGGCGTCGTCGGCGTCCACATAGCCAGCCAGCTCGAGCGACTTAGGTCCACCACCGAACTCCAGGGTGGTGTCACGTGTGGTGGCGAGGTAGGCAAGGCAACGGTCGGCCTCGCGCCAGTGCTGGTCGCTCCTCATCGTGAGGCCGCTCCCCAGCTTGCTGCAGGCAAAGGCAATGTCCGGCCTCGTCGTCGTCGCCGCGAACTGCAACGAGCCGACCTTCTGCCGGTACTCCTCCTCCTGGCGTTCCTGCGCCTCCTCGTCGTCGAAGGTGAGCTCGGCGTAGGCGTCGACCAAGACCGGCGTCTTCGGGGTGCGCCCGGTCTGCTCCTCGTCGATGAAGCGCCTACGTAGCTTGTCGGCGTAGCCCTGCTGGTGCAGCCACAGCTTCTCCGCCGACCTGTCGCACACGATCTCTAGCCCGAGGTACTTCTGCACCGCCGAGATCTCGCGCAGCTCGAAGGCGGCTTCCAGCAGCTCCTTCAGCTCCTTCAGCATCGCGGCGCTGCTGCTGGCAGCGGCGAGGAGGTCGTCAACGTAGACCAGCACCCAGCAGGCCACTCCGTCCTCGCACACCTTGAAGTAAAGAGCCTCGTCGACCTGGCTCTTCTTCCACCCGGCGCCGACTAGCACATCGTTGAGCGCCAAGTACCATAGCAGCGGCGACTGCTTCAGCCCATACAGGCTCTTCAGCAGCCTGCACACCCGGCCGGATCCATCGTTGAAGTAGTCCGGCTGGTGCATATACAGCACCTGGTCGAGCTTGCTCTGCAGGAAGGCGTTCTTCATGTCGAGCTGCATCAGGTTGAGGTTGAGGACGGCGACGATGCTGAGGAAGATCCTCAGTGTGACGTAGCTGCCCACCGGCGCGAATGTCTCGTCGTTGTCGGCGCCGTACACCTGCGTGAAGCCCTTTACGACCAGCCTCGCCTTCTCTCGCTCGACGGTGTCGTCGATGTGGTACTTCGTCGTCAACACCCACCGGTTCTTCATGATGTTCACTCCCGGCGGGCGTTCGACCAGCTCCCACGTTCCCATGTTGAGGAGGCTGCAAATCTCCTCCTCCATGGCGGCCTTCACCGCCGGGCCCTTCCAGCTCGCCAACGCCTCCTTCACCGTCATCGTCGAGATGTCCCAACGGTGCTCGGGGTCGGCTAGCATGTCGGGGTCGAGCTCCAGAAACTCTTCATCCTCCTCGGCGTCGTCGTACAGTAGGTCGTCATCGTCGACGTCGTAAACCATGGTGAAGGCAGCGGGGACAAAGAAGTCAGCCGGCCTCCGAAGTCGGCCTGAACGCCGTGGTCCCGGCTGGACCTCCTCGGCGTCCCCTCCATTGTCGCCGTCGTTGCTGCCCTTGGCGTCCTGCTGCTCCTCAGCCGGCGTCCCAGCCGACTTCTCCCCGGTGGTCGGCGTCCCAGCCGACTTCTCCCCTGTGGTCGGCTCCCCTGCCGACTTCTCCCCTGTGGTCGGCTCTCCTGCCGACGACCCGGTCGCCGACTGCTCCTCGGTCGGCGTCGCTGCTGCCTGCTCCCCTGTCAGCTGCTGTTGTGCAGGCGCCTCCTTTACCGGTTTCACCAAAGGCGTCTGCACCACCTGCTGCCTCCTTGTCGGCGTCAACTTCGCTCCCACACCGACTTGCACAGAATCACGTCGGCCACCGGCGATGCTTGGGGCAGCGATGCTTGGGGCCGGCGCCACAGGTGACGCCCCACGTCTCCCCTCATCACCGAAGGCCGACGACGGGGTCAGCCCATGCAAGTCGGCGTCCAGGGGAGGGGCAGGTGATGGGTAGGGACCGGGGATGTCCTCGGCGTCCTCACCAGCAAGCGCACCGACCTCGGTGAGCAGAGGCACCGACGCCGTCAAGGTGTCCGTTGGCGGGTGAACCGGCATCCGCCCTGACACCAGCCCGTGCGCCGACTTCCACATGTCCAGCGACATGCTCTCGTAGAACACCACGTCCGACGTGGTGACCAACCGGTTGTCGGAGATGTCGAGGAGATCCCAGCCCTTGCTCTCCTCCGACACGCCGAGGTGAAGGCCCCGCCGTGCCTTCGGCTGCAGCTTCCCACCACGCTGCTCGGGGACTAAGAACTGCGCCATGCAGCCCCACACTCGCGCCAGCGACAAGTCGGGCTTCTTCCCGGTCAGCAGCTGGTACGGCGTCGTCCCTGGCGGCAGCACCGATCTCTCAAGGCAGTTGCGGACCCAGACGGCCTGCCGGAGAGCGATGTGCCACCAGTGGTGCTGCACGCCCATGTGCAGCAGCATTGTCCGCACCAACTCCACCACCGTCCTCATCTCCCGCTCCGCCATGCCGTTCTGCTGCGGGGTGTATGGGCAGGTCAGGTCGTGGACGATCCCCTTGCCGTTCACGAAGTCGGTGGAGTGCTTCCCAAGGAACTCCCCTCCCCGGTCAGAGCGCAGCATCAACACCGACTTCTTCGTCTGCCGCTCAGTCACCGCCAGCCACTGCACGAACACCGGCAACGCATCTGACTTCTTGGCGACCGGCTTCACCCACACGTAGCGGATCTTGCGGTCCTTCAGCACCAAGAAGTACAGGCTGCCATCCTTGGCAGCCACGCGGAACGGCCCGCACAGGTCGATGTGCACGACCGCCAGCACGTCGTCGGCTTCGGAGCCTTGGTCGGGGAAGGTGTGCCGCGCCAGCTTCCCGCCGACGCACGAGAAACACGGTGAGTCGGCGCCCGTCGCCGACTTGAGGTCCAGCCCAATGGGGACCTCGTTCTTCGCCGAGCTCTTGATGGTGTTCATGCCAACGTGCGCATGTCTAGCATGCATCCTGTCCGGCGTCAACTTTGTCTTCGGGACGATCGCCCGCAGGGCCACAACCTCCGTCGTGGGCGACGTCGACCTCGTTGAGCAGGGACGCAGGTCGGTGCACAGAACACGCCCGGAATACGTCGCCCGACCGAGCACCTCCCCCGTTGCCGAGACGAGCAGCATCCCGTCGCCGTCCTCTTGCAGCTTCACGCCGTGCTCCTTCAGCTGGCTGGACGACAGCAAGTTCGCCCGCACACCCGGGACGTACAGCACGTCAGGGATGAGCACCTGCTTCCCGGCCTCCCCTTGCAGAGCGACGGTGCCGCGGCCCTGGACGTCCTGTAGTGCCCCTTTGAAGCCGCGCACGTGCTTGATGGAGCCGCTCGGCTGCAGGTCGACGAAGACTTCCTTCGTGCCCATCAGGTGGTGGGAGCAACCGCTGTCGAGCAGTACCACCGCCGGGTTCGCCTGCACAGCTGCCGCCACCGCCTGGAAGTTCTCCTCGGCCTCTGGCGCCAGCAAGACGGTCGGCTCGACGACGCCGACCAGCGAGCACGACGCCGTCTTGTCGTCCCGCCCCTTGCCGTCTGCAGAT